TATACATACATACATACATACATACATACATACATACATACATACATACATACATACATACATACATTCCATCCGTGGCATGGTGATCGGATTACGTGGCCCAAGTAGGGACTCAGCCATATTAAGACGGGTAGTCGTAGACGAATGACTGCGACAAAGGAGTTAAACACAAGAAGCGTAGAGACGTTTCGAGGCATCTCCAAGGACGCAGAGTTCGTAGTCGAGTGGTGAATCGGTCGATGGAACAAGGCAACGAGGGACCGATGGGATTGGATGAGCGAGGTCTTCGGCCAATTTCTTCCAACCAACGACATCTGAATCCTCGAACGGGTCAACCCAATGATAGGATTTTATCCACATATCTTGCAAGAAGATCTTAAACGGTGCGAGAATGGCGACAAAATGCCCAATGGATCAAGCGTAGAAGCGAATGCTTTGAGCGCTGTGCGCTTCGAAATAACTGTCTTACAAAGAGTTTGAACTGGGATACGAGTGATATCTTTGGAAACATCCCATTGAAGTTCTAGTGAGGGAACTGATGTTGAATACTGCATGCGATCTTGTACATTGATTGCATCGTTAACGTAGGAAGAATTAGATAGAAATTGTCGTAAGTTCATATTCATAGAAGTGGCTTTAGAGTTCTGATACTTACGAATCGCTTCTCCTGCAGTTGATGCTCCCAATAGAATGTTGTCGACGTAGGTGTTCTCTTCTATCTCCTCGTTGAGCTGCGAATTTGGATCTCACGAAGAAGAATTCCGACAAGGTCAGGGAGGATAGACGGACCGGGATGGAAGCAATCGTTGAGACTAGGGGCTCCTTTGTAGTGGGATTAGGCATCGAAGCCAACTCTCAGCTTGGTGGTGGTAGAGGATTCCTCGATCACTGATTGATGGGGGCTGTAGTAGACTCTATGGTTGTCGAAGTGATGTTCGTCGACTCCCTCAATGATTCCTTTGTCCAAGTAATCGTCGATTGTTGAAGCGTAGAGTCTCCAAAGGTCCGGCTTTGTGACGAAGGATTTATACTGGCTTTCGAGTCGTTTGAGTGCGAGGAGCTTGTTGTCGGCTAGTCGAGGAATTGTATATATAGGTGTGGATTTCCATGGGAATCGTATATATAGGTGTCCACCGATCTCTAGCGCTGTATCCTGGAATTGTCGTGGGATACGGGCATATTCTTCTTGGTCGGAAGAAAGATCAGGATCATCTGCGGTACCAATGACGTCTAGACGGTCAAAACGAGAGACGGGATCGGCTTCGTCGGACGATAGGGAGATGGGATTAGTGGAAAATTGTTGCAGGCAACCACGAAAAAATTTGGATCCGGAGATGGTCGGACCGAATAGTGTATTGCAGAGGACTAGGCTTGTTGAAAGGGTCTGAGGACAATCCGATGTGACGATGTCCCAAAAGTAGTCGATTCCAATTAGGATGTCTGGTGTGACGGCTCGACTGATGGTAAGGGATTCCAAGCGGATGTTGTTAAATTGGAGGAATTGACGACCTTCGTGGTACGTGTTGCGCCGAATGTAACGGTAGTAGGAGGGATGATGTGAGAGACCTTTATGTTAGGGCGGGTAACTGCATCCAGCGAAATGAAGCTTCTTTGTGCACCTGTGTCCAACATTGATGTTGAAGTGTTGGTCTGATGGTCGACGGCTAATGATTCCACTGTCATGATACTGGACGAGGTGGAATGGTCCAGAGCAGTACAAACTTGCGTGTCGGACGGATCCTTGAGATGTCGAATAAGATCCTCGTATTCTTCGTCTAAGTTGGCTGCGACGTAAACCGGTGTGTCTCGACCCTGATGTCGTTCCCTCTCATTGTTGTCTCGAGAGAAGGGATGTTATCACGTACTGGAGATCTGAAGCGAACCGTTGTGTATAAAATTCTCCATGACGCGGGGATGGATTCTGTCATAAGATCGTCTGGGTGGATAGGAACTGGAACGGGACGGCGATCGCGAATATGTCCTACCATAAGATGGACTTCTTCCGTAGATACGTGACGAACTTTTCGAGATAGAATGTGGACGGTGAATGGTGACTTCTTCCTGGCGAGGGTGTTCGGTAGCTTCGTCGGGCTGAATGCGAACAAAGCATATAGTGATGTTTCCTTCTACAAGAAGGGCAATTAGGATGATCGTAGAAGGAGCTGGTGTGTCCGTGACGAAGGCACTTCCAACATAGTCGAAAAGCATTAGCGATAACGCGACGACTTTCCATAGGCATGTAATGATGGCAAGTAGAGCGATGGTTAGGCGAGTAACAGAAACAACACGTCCTTGAATCGTAACGTGGCTCCAGTAATGGAGATCTGGAGCGAGGAGCGGAAACAGGAGCGATGTTGAATTTCGAAGTGAATTTGGCTGGAAGATAGCGTCACACTTCTCGTATTCCTCAATGATTTCGTTTAGTCCATCTAGAAGTTCCGGTAAGGTCCATGTCTTACTCGACCGATGTTCCATCTTGTTCACTTCTTGTTGGGCCTCCTTCGGATACTTCTTTCGAATCAACTTCATAAGAGCTAACGACGTAGATGTATCCTCATAACGGTTAAGTTGTAGAATGAACGACTGAATCAGGCATAAGGTGTCTCGTTGGCTCGTAGCTGACGACGACGACGGCTGAAGCTGCTCCATCTCATGATGGAATAGATGGTGGGTATATTGTGGACGATCATATCTCCTTCGAAGCGCTTCAATGGCTGGGCGATAATTGTCAGGCTGAGATGGATCGTAGCCGGATCATCAACGCAGCACTTCCCTTGAGTGAGTTCGTCAAGTAGATGAACTTGGTAGCTGGCGAAAGGGCGTCTTTATAGTGGACTGCTGTTCGGAAGCTACTCCAGAAGTCGTGGTACTGAGTGATGTCTCCGTCGAAATTTGGTAACTCAACACGTCGAAGTTGAATCGGCTGCAACAGCGGAGGAACCATCCCCTGTGATGGAGTTAGTGGACTGGTCTGTTGAGGAGAATCGCGATTCCCCTGAGATGGTACTTCGCTGATGGAACGTGGTGAATCCCTTGCAGCCAAAAAACCTGTGGCTGTAGTCAAGTCCTTCTGAAGATGTCAGAGGAGAGAAATCTGGATGTTATGATCCGCGATGGGCTGCGAGTCAAGTTCCATGATGGTATCCTGGGCTTGACCGAGAAACTGTTGCCCTTGCTGCTCAATCCAAAATTGATCGGCGTCGCGGAGGAGTTATTTCTGTTCCTGTGTCCGAGCAAACAACAACAGGGCTTGATAACGCGATCTAAGAGTTCCCGAAGCCTTCTCGATTCCATTCTTCGCCATTGTGATGGCTTCCTTACGACGTCCGATGGCACGAAGTTGGATTTCCGGAGACGCATCCGTGTCGATCGACGGTAAGTTACTAGAGTCCAACGCGGAAAGCATCTTAGAAAGCATACTGATGGCCGTACTTATCTTCACCTCGTGTCCTTGTAATACAGACATAGTAGATAGATGAATAACCGTTAGTGTTGTTATAACCTACATGCTAGAATACGTTTGAATTTCTTTCAAAAGTTAAACCGTATCTACGAATGTAGCGTTTAGCACATGCACATTAATTGAAGTGGTGATAGTAAAGCTGACCATTAAGGAGGAATCAAAGCGAGACAAGGAAGGAGATGAAGAAGAGAGGATGCTGAAGAAGAATGAGGTACAGAAAGAAGAGGGAAGCCAGAGGAGGGATAAGGGGGGGGGGGATATGAAGAAACCCGAGGCGAACATTTCAGCACGACATAATTCAAAAGGGAAAGGGGAACGCAAGAGGGGTTGTGGATAAAGCATGCGTATAATGAGCAAGTGCTTATGTGAGGAACGAGCACGGTAAGGTCAACCACGGTCTAGCGCTTACGACTACGCGGCTTGAGTCTGCACCAAGACTAACATGACACCCAATGCTCTCAGTGCTGTTGGCTTAGCTCACTGCGCCGCAATTGGCCCTACCAGGAGCTCACGTAGCTCGACTGGCCCGAATACTATTGGCGGGGTCGCACTCCACCAACACCCATGCAATCCAATGCTGCGATAATCGCAGGGCGCGTAAGGGTCCTACACAAGCTTGCACACGAGCGCTCCCTGCCAGTGCGACCGGTTAAGGTACTGAGGGGACCCCTGCCACTGATCCCGACAGTAACACTGGACAGGTGTGAGTAGCGATGTAATAGACCCAGCTGTGGGCAGCATGGCCCGTTACCCACACGAGAAGCTTGCTCAAAATGCGCTTGTGAACCCACAAGTCAACCGAGGAATAGTTGACGGCGTGCGGCAACGCTTACGTCTGGAAAGGACTGAGGATGTGGGAATACCCTAACGAAATAAAAGGTGCGACGGAAAGGCTCGATCTCGACAGCCAAGGCCGTCTCTCGACGACGATGACTCGACCACTGCGCCCGATGCACCAATTCTGTTGCGACCCCGGTCACGCCAGAATGTGGGTATTGTAAGGGCCCACACTCCCTCTGGAGGAGTTAGCCACACCGAAATGCCTAATGACCTGCCAGTGGGTGAATGGAAAGGCCTTAATCCCCGTTCCGGCTCCCACTTAAGATGAATATGGTAAAAGGCATGAACTGAGGATAGTGGTACTTGACGATGCTACGTCTCGTAGAAATCACACTATAATCATTACGAGTTTAATGGCAATAAACATATCATAAAAACCACTGTGCATCACAAAGGATATACAAAAAGAAGCAATTCAGAGAGAAGCAAAGAAGATAATATGAAATGAATGGTCAGCAAACTGAAGTCAAAGCATAACATGTAATGGGTACCGCTGGTCCGCTAGGTGGATGGTGAAGGTTCCAACTGAAGAAGTCCTTGTTACTGACATCGGCTGAAGACGACACGACTGAGGACCGCTTGATCCGAGGCAACCGCTTAGGACGACGAGATGATGCAATAGCGCCGGCTAGTTGCCAGGCGCGGGCTCCCTCGATAACCTTCCCGCGCTTCTAGAACGTTCGACCATTTGCGCGTGGTGCGTCGCGGTCCAGCATTGGAGCACGGTATTTTCCAGTGGGCTCGACGGTCGCACGTAAGTCGTGACAGTGTATGAATGGAAAGGCAAGGAAGTGCAGGTGAGTATATTTTTTTCCTTTTTCTCCAGCTTAAGAGAGAACGAGCATGCGAGTGCAGTGTTAGACCGTATGAAAGCCCACGTCCACTCGTTCGCCGCCTTGGCTATCCACTGATAGACAGGAGCCGGGCAAGACGGCGTGACGTCGTCCCCACGAGCCTACTTTATTACACAGACATTTTTTCTTTCTTTCTATGCATAAGAAAATTCCTAGGAATAAAACAACTCGCTTCTGCAGAGAATAAAGGAAATCCACAGGCATACTCAGTAAATATAGCATATACTATAGACGTGATGTTGGCAAACATTTTTCAAAATTTGTTTCACTGATTTCAGCAGGATGATGTTGATGACGGATTCAGCGGAGGTTTCCAATGTAATCGTACAGCCACGATCGACGATTGTTGTAGGATGTGAAATTCAACCAATCGTATATTCCGCACCACACAAAATTTCGTCTGTTGTTCCGACTGTATTCCAAAATCGCATCCATCTCACCACACCCAAAGGAAAAACATATAATCATTCCTTGGGTGCATTGATTCACATAGCTGGCGGAGAGATGAAGTTCTGTGATGCCTTTTGAAGCCATCGGGTAAATAAAAAACTACGGATGAGGCTTTATACAACCATCCATTTGTTCATGGTGACTTGCCTTTTTATGACATAGGTAAATATGTAGAGACATGTATCATGAATCATCAAGTGGGACGGAGATTGCTCGCACAGTGTAGTGTAATCCAAACACCCGCATCGAAAGAATAATGACTATCTGATTTCTGCCTGAGAACAGTAGCGGCCATCTTATTATGAAGTGAAGCAAAGTTTCCGTGTGATCGCTTAGATCACTTTACGGTGTCGTACATTTGAAATAATCACATAACTGTTGCCATGGCACTCGCCGCATTAACAGCACAGTCAAATGGTTTCCACCGGTATAAACGATCAAATGCTAGGGGAATAATGGTTACCTCTCTTCAGGAACATCAGATACTCTAATGACATCGTTCTGTTAAATGCTTTGATAGAAGGGAAATCTCTGCTAAAAATGTTTCGAGAAGAGTTTCACTCATTGTTAACACCTGGCCATTGTAAGGCTGCAATCCAACTAGTGTTTATAGACCAGGCGAGAGATCTCAAAATAAGTAAGAGAATTGGGACATTTAATAACCCATGAAAACACTCAATTTGCGTTCTCGACAAATGTTCTTTTTTCACGCGTTTTTACAGCACGAAATAACTCACAATGACAGAACCGGAGAACCTACAGTTGTGCCAATAGGCTCACGCATTTGAGGAACAGTTATTAAATATGTGAGGAAAAACGGCGTAATTTATATTGTCTACAAATAAGTGGCTACGTCGATACAACAACCCTTCTAGGAGTAGGCATTGTTGTCCTGGCAAGAGAGAAAGATGTGCTGAATAGTACATTTTGAAATCTCACTATCGAGAACACTCTCAGAGTGTGCCACTACGAGAGGAATTTTTGGCATAAGTCCCAGGATCCAATGACTGATCCGCGAAGTCCTTCCAGGAGTAGCAGGAATTGAACAGGTCAGTGGATGTCGTACTTGGGCATCAAACGAAAGAGCTATTTACTATAACTATTACACGGACACGAAATGCCGGGGACTGTAGCCATAGAATATGGGAAACTGGTCATGTTCAGAGACGAAAAGCCATAGTCATCGTATGAAGGTACAATTCAGAAACACTTATCCAACGATGAACCATCGGGATCTACACATCCCTGCCTTTCCACAAAGAGCAATCCTTTTAGAAGCGCTACAGTGATGGGAGGAAGTATTGGGTTGTAACATAAGTTCGTAGAGTTCTTTCACAAAGATTTATCTGAACCAAAAAACAATAATTATAATAATAAATTAACCAATGATGTATCCTCCGTTACTGTTCACGACCTCTTCCCATCTCTCGACCAATTTGTTGATGGCGATTCGCCGAAAATCGGCCGTTGTGGTGTTGAAGAATTTGTTGAGCCAGTTTTTAAGGTCCCCTTCGCCATCGAAGGTAACACCCCTCATTGGGTTTAACATAGAGCGGAAAAGGTGTTAGGTGCAGGTGCAAGATCCGGAGAGTGCGCTGGATGCTGAAGAACCCCCCATTCAAGCTCTTGGAGTGCTGTTTTGACGACTTGAGCAATATGGGGCCTGGTGTTGTCGTGGAGCAAGATGACTTGACCACCTCTATGAGGTCTTTTCAGCCGAATAGCCTTACATACACTGTTCAGCTGGGTGAGCATAGAAAAGCAGATGTCGAAATTGCTAAATTTTTCTTCCTGGATATTCCATTTCTGAACCCGAAAAAAGACGAACAATTTAATTATCCTGAAAACGAGTAAAACAGTTTTGTAGAGGAGAAAGAGCTCTTTCAAATGAATGTATACACTTCGCTAAAAAACAAATTAACTCGTTGTAAAATAACTCTAACGCAAAACTCTACGAACTTATGTTACAACCCAATAGAATTCAACTGAAAAAAAGTTTGGTGACTGCCGAAGGTTAAGCAGTTTTAAGCAGCTCGTCCAACTCTATAGTCAGAAAGCACTCTAATGGTTGGAGTAACCATCCTACTCATAGAAAATACGATGCACATAGTCTTGTCCCAGAGTGCCCTGTTGTACCAAGATATCGCATTTGATTTGCACTCGCAATGATGTTCTACCAAATCCGTCACCGAAAATCAAAAACGTCCCCTACGAACGAATCACGTTTACCCACTAGAACAGCAAAATGACCTTGACAAAAGATTCGCTTCGAAAGCTCTTGTTTTGGTGTATCAAGTCCGCAAACCAGCACCTAGTTCGGTCAACTAATCATTGCAAGTGCTGATCATTGACACCTGTCTATTGCAAACGAGTTAGAGGAACATAAAGCGATTACTGTCGTGGATATCACTTGCAAGTATGCAAATAATTAGCATGGTTATGAAAAACATAACAGGCTAACGTGCCAGCATCCTGAGCTTTTCTCTACACTTTCGTTAACTGTTTGAGTGGCCAGGATTTATAAGATGCCAAACAATCTCTCTATATATAGAGCGGTAAATTTGTGTGTCTGTTTGTATGTCGGTTTGTGCGTCCGTCCGCAGGAAGCCACGTAGGCACGATGTGGATTGTGAAAGTCAAGTGGGCGCATGTGGACATCGGTGAGGGACATGTTACTAAATAATATGTCTATAGATACTATTGGTACCAACCAATACGGATTAGATGGTGATGTTGCACGTGTTGGTATGCGCGACCCAACCGGTTTTATGTAAAGCTAGCCAGCAATCTTTCTTTTCCATAGCCCATCCATTGTAATGGCAGAGACTATTGTGAGATACATCCAGGTCACCTCACGAAAGTGTGCGATAGACATCTTTCGCCATCGCGCTACGATTGCATGGTCAGACCCATCCCACGTCAAAACCTTTTTATTGCGGTGGAAGGAGCGGAGTAATACTCCTTCGACACATCACATAATATGTTTAGCTGCGGTTATCTCTCCGGAATTGTCATTCTACTACTTCTTCGCCTCTCATTTCACAACCAATGTTTTACTTCTCGAGTGAATAGTTAAAAGGAGATTTCCAGAACACCTTCAATTACAAAATTAATAGATACGTAGAAATGTTGGGTTGAGGCATAGTCCTCAGTATTCGTGATTCTCTCAAAGATTTCAGCGTGTTGTTATACACTGTTGCTTTTCGTGTTTCGATGATTCTTTTCTGTCTCCCAACAGATTTATGTTAATTGGATATTAGTGACAGAATGCGAAAAGCTCTCACTCTCACTATCAGCTTGGTGGGACTTGTCTATGCTGTGGACCGCCTCAAATTCAAAACATGTGAACAATCCGGATTTTGCAAGTGAGATTTTTTCTCCGATCCTTACAATAAAAGAGCCAGTAGGTGACGTCATGTAAGCCACAGAGGTGGTTGATTGTTCACTGCAAATTCTGCTGCTATTTATACAATAGCGGCTATTTTTCCTGCACGAATACCTCCCAATCTTTGGCGTGTGTAGTTATGTGCATATACGTGTGTAGGTGAGTGTGAATGTGTATATACAGGGTGTCCCAAAATTATGTGCGCCTAAATTCAGGAACTTCTAAGGTTGGAGTCATTTCTCATATTCCCTTGACCTCTACGGATCTCTTTCACAGAGGGTTATCTCTCACTGAAGTATCCCCAGCCGGTTAGTGACGAGGCTACGTAGGGCATCCCCAGGTGGCAGATAGGGGAACTAATTGTCGACCAAAAGTCACCAGTACTTGCTCGGAGGCGCAGTTGGATTTAGGAGATGGACTCCTTGATTCTGCTGTGCTGATCGATACACCTCTTGTTTCTCGAAGGCGTATCCACGCATACGTGTGTGGAAAGTCTGTGGGTGCAGTTGGTATGCTGCCCATCGACTCAGCCAAAAGCTCGCATTCGAGTGACTGGGAAGAACCTGGAAGACGATTTGGGCCGTCTTCAAAGGCAGAGCCTCTCGTCCACTTCGACAGCCTGCCTAGCACCCGGAATCAACCCAGCCCCCAGGTTAGAGCCTGGCAAGCTACTCGTTGGGGAACCGTATACTAAAAGCAGTAATAGAAATGGGCCTCATTCCCTTGAACCTGAGGGAGCCCCCAATACGGCAGCGTTGGGTAAGACCGCTCGGGAGAGGCTGCTAAAAGCTCAAGGCCAATACAGAGTGCACAAAAGGAGAAGGACTAAGATGGCGACCTGTACTTCCAACGCACGGACGTTGACATCGGAAGCGGTACGGAAGACCTGATGATGCAAGCTAGGAAGATCAAGTACGATGTCACCGGACTGATCGAGACGAGAAGGCATCGCCCGCTGCACGCTGTATTTGAGACTGGAGAAGAACTGTTCCCTGGAACATGCGACAACAGAGGCGTCGGCGGCGTAGGTGTTCTCGTCAATACGCACCTGGCCATGAACATCGATTTGTACGAAAGCCTAACAATCCGAATCGGACGTTTACGATTAAGAGGATGTGGCTCTACCATAGCTCTAACCATCTTCATTGCCTACACACCAACATCGAGCTGCAAGGGACAGGAGCCGGAAGCATTCTATACGGTTCCAGAGAGGCTCTACAAAGAAGACCACACTCTCTTTAAGATCATCGCCGGTGATTTTAACACCAAGATTGGCCCCAAAAGAACGGCTAAAGAGCTCCACCTTGGAACTCACGGAATGGAATGGAATGAGAAGGGTGAAAGGAGGGTGAAAGGCTGTCAGAGTTCATCATGTCGACCCACACCATCCATGGTGACTCGCAGTTCCAGAAGCCCATTCATTTGCGATGGACATGGGAGTCACCTGGTGGACAGTTTCATAATGAAATAGACCACATCATCTTCAATCAGAGATTTTGCCTGACTGACGTCGCTGTTGTTCCGAAGTTGTGTACGGGATCGGACCATCGTCTCCTCTGCTCTACAAGACCTCCGTCAACTGGGACCACTTCGCTTCTCTTGCGAGTAAATGGGAAGATTCCATATCAACAACATCGATGAAGAGTGCAACCGACTCGTGAACACCTTCACGATAGCGCTAGGAACGCAGAGAGTCTACAAGTAGCCAAGAGGTGACTCTCTTCGAAAATCCTCAAGCTGATACGCCAGCGTGTAATTGCGCGAGCTACAGGCAATTACCAACAAACGTTCGAACTTGTGAAGCTATGCAGACAAGAAATAAAAAAAGATCTTAGAGAGAGAAGAGCAGCAGTTATTGACGAAGTCGCCGAGGCCGGAAAGAGCATTTGCAAAGCCCGACGGAGCTTTGCGAACTTTGCAAACCTTTTCTTCGCCAATTAAAAGATTAAAAGACTCCCCTCTGTCGTCCTGACGGAGCAGTCACTGCATCTCGAAGAGCAATGGAGAGGGAATGGTCATCTACGGCTTCTACTCTGATCTGTTCGACAGCCACGTCTACCTGCCTACCCACCATCTTAGGCAAAACGTATATATCGCTCCTTCGGTTCTCCCTTCCGAAATACGATATGCCATCACGTCGATGAAGAACTGTACGGCGCCTGGTTCCGATAGATCTCCCTTCCGAAATACGATATGCCATCACGTCGATGAAGAACTGTACGGCGCCTGGTTCCGATATTATCAAACCAGAACATCTGAAGAGTCTTCCACCAGTTATCGTTAGACCTCTGGTTAGGCTGTTCACGGCTCTCTTCAATTGCCGCCCAATCTGCTTGTTGTGTGTGATCTATAAGTTTTTCACTCGCTTCATCCCAAACAGGATTAGCAAAATGTTAGATGAAGGACAGCCGTGCGAGCAAGCTGGCTTTCGGAGAGGGTTCAGCACAATCGATCATACCCACACTCTTACAAGACTCACTGAAGTATCACGAGAGTACAAGATGCCGTAATGTCTTACGCACATCGATTTGAACAAAGCCTTTGACACCGTCGAGACAAAAGCGTTGGGCAAACAGCATGTTCCTACTCAATACATAAGGATGCTTCGTGAGCTCTACGACAACTCCACCTTCAGGATTTCACCATTCTACAAGGAAGTCATTATCGACGTGAAGAGAGGTGTCCGGCAAGGCGATACCATTTCGCCCAAACTCTTCAGTCCGCTCTCGAGAGCATTATGCGTCATTTGGAAGGGAAACATGGGGGTGAAGGTCGACGGCCGCTACGTACCTCATCTCCGCTTTGCAGATGCTCATAACACCGAACATCGAGCAGGCGGAACGAGTGCTGGGCGAATTTGACATTGCATGTGGAAAGATCGGCTTGAGACTGAACTTAACGAAGATGATGTTCTTGGAAAATGGATTGGTACCTGATGCTCCCTTCACGCTAAACGAAACGAGTATCTCCGAATGCTCTAGCTATGAGTATTTTGGTCGGGAAGTCATCATCATGAACGACCTAGCTCCGGAGCTGTGCAGAATGAAGCGCACCGCGTGGGGAGCATTCAAAAATGTCAAGGGAGTAGTGAAGAAGACAAAAAACATCCGACTCAGCGCTCACGTTTTCGACACTGCTGTCCTTCCTGCTTTGATGTACGCCTACGAGACTTGGACTCTACGAAAGCAGGGTGCATGCTTTCAGCTTTCAACGCGCTTGGGAACGAACGATGCTCAGAATTTCCCTATACACGCACACGTAAGTGCACAAGGGAATCCGGAGTGGGCTGGACACGTTTTGCGATATAGTGATGACCTTTGGACCAGGGCGGTTGCTGACTGGATTCCTCGGGACATCAAACGAACTCCAGGACGGCTGCTAGCGAGATGGTTGGAGTTCTTCATGGAAGCTCTGAATGAAAGGACTGTTGAACCTTGTGTTTGAAGCTGAAGCGAGCACGACTCACTTTACCAATGGCTCGTGACAGGGACGAATGGAGACGTCACTGGCGCCCGCTCGAGGAGGTAGACGATCAACGGGACGGCAGGTGATACAGGTGATTCCCTTCACCCGCTATTGATTAGTTGCATGAGATGGCTTTCCTACAAATACATAGTTACTGGAGAGAAGCTCCCGATATGTTTTAGATGGAGGAGGCTCATTCGATACCACTTGCGATCATTGACACACGAGAGGTGGAAGGGCATCATGAAATCCCTCCGGTTTTTATAAAAAACATATAGGAAAGACATACATTAAACGGTATTGGAAGGAAGATTGAATCGGAGACAAACCAGGAGAGGTAGGAAGGACAATGTTTCTGAAGATAGGAATATTAACAAGGTCCGTTTGCCAGTTGGTCGTGATCCTGGGTGACCCATCAAAATGTATTCAACGGGCACGGCTTATGGAACAATGTCCTGCAGATACTTCATTGCCATTCCTATCGTATGCAGAAATCGCACTCTATTTCCGGTCTCAGCAGATAATGTAGGGTGAAAAAATGCAGGATGTTGTTGACTCAGTTGAGTTGAGACACGCATCCCTGCATCGTTTTCTCTAGCTCAAAAGTTTTTGCGCGAAACCCATTCCTAAAAAACAAAACGATCGTGTTTCGTATAGAATTATCCAACGTGCACTCTTCCACAAAAGTCTACTATAAGAACAGCAAAATGATGTTTTTTGAGGGAATCACTATCAAGGGTAAGACGCTCGTGGTTTCGTCGGCGTGAAAATTGAGAACGTCCCGTGCTCGAATGGCCTACTGAAGGACGTGGTGAGGGACTGATCCGACTCCGCTTCCTGAAACAGCAGGATGGTACTCCAGCCCACAGAGCCAAACTTGTTAGGGAGGTGGTGTCGACGTTGGTTGCCCGACTTCATTAGCAAAGAGGGATAGCCAGCTTGCTTTCCAGATCTTAAAGCTATCTTGCTTTCCAGATCTTAACTCACTTGACTCCTCCCTATAGGCCCTGATTAAAAGAAGACCTGTCGGGTTTCCAACGGCTTGGAGTCCTAGAAAGCGAGGCTCAATTATACTGGGGGATATTATGATATGTGACTGCAGCATGTTGTAGCACATGATGTAAGCAAACGTGCATATAGATTCCATTGTCATCCTCAGCTGAGAAGCTTTAAATGCATTGCCTTGAAGTGGCACCCATAATTTGGGCACCCTCTATATGCTTATATAATGTACTAACCAGTTGGGCTATGCACACTAACGCATGTACCATGCCATGCCCACTGCCGCTTAACTACGACTTGTTAGAGGACCAATCTAAACAGTATTGGTTGACTTCCCTTTTCATAACCGTCTCCCCTTCAGGTGATATTTCCCAATTTGAACGATCTGATGCCGCTTTGAGGGTGTTGATCTCTTGACACTAATAGGTGGTTGTGGAGTGGTTTCCATGCCGATTTTCTGTAGTTCCTAGAGGTTTGATTGTCCTGAGGCAAATTGTGATTTTTAGTCTGTGACGTCATAAACAGACTGGTTATTAATCAATAGACCAACATAAAGAGCGTCGGTCGACTTCCCATTTCATAACTGTTTTCTCACCGCGCTCTTCCGATCTTCACGCCCATGATCGTGCCTACGTTTCGGGAGAACACACAAACGGGCATATAAACGGACACACAAAGTTAGCGCTTTATATATATACCAGTGAGCTACGCATGCTCATGCGTGCACCATATGTCCACAACCCGTCTACGATCTTACTCGAGAAGAGCAGTAAAACATTTTCATGTTCCGTTTGAACGACACTGCTTCACCCAAAAAATCCTGCACATTAGAGTTAAGCTTTCAAGAGCAAAATATCCTTTCAAGAGCGTAGCTGTCATTACATTTATATTGAAAATGTCGTTCTAGTTTGATTGTAGGAGGTTGCGCATCGGGGCGGAGGTGCGGAAAAGCACTAACTTGTACATCGGCCGGCCACCGCAAGTCATCGCATAGGCCACACACGCATTCAATACGCCACTACGATTCTGAATGGAAGTCGAATGGGCGGGAACCTTTTGACGGGATTGAATAACGCCCCAAAACATTGTTCAATTGCGCATCAGAGATGTAATGGAAAACAATCAGCAGAGTGTTCGATGATGCCTGATAAATACCAACAGATGTCAATGTCAAACTTTTCCTACCCTAAATTCTCTCTTCTCTAAAAAACTGGTTAGCATGTGATTCACTTCCCCACCGCCCTCTTGTGATCTTCACGCCTGTGATCGTGCCTACGTGACTTTTGGGAGGACACACAAACGGGCATACAAACAGACACACAAAGTTAGCGCTTTATATATATATATAGAGGATATATATATATAGGATAAGAGTTGGTTCTCTTGCTCATGGAAGGGAATTCCTATACTGCGCGGTGGATCATCATCGTGGTGTACTCCTGATTTCCAAAAAACTAAAAGTATTTTCATCTTGATGCAATCAGATTTTGGGTGCTGGAAGTCATCACTATGGCGATTAGTCGGTCGTGGGTTTAAAGTGACAACTATTATGTGACGCTTGTATGCCCTTCTCGCATCTGCCGCTTCAACCCTCTGCCATTCCAGAGCTTGAAGCGGAGCGGGATGACTGATAGGTGGTCGGGTGACGCATCCGACAGACTGCCTTGAACTTATAATATGACTCCTTCTCTCGAGAAAACTGGATCGTAAGCTCATCTTATTTTCTATGTGCTCTATGGACTCGTTGAGTCTGAAAAAAGCTGGACTGTATTCCGAGCTTAGAATCTTCGGATTCCACCGTTGTTGTTGGAGAAGTTGGTGCTTCTCTCAACGAGTGGCAAAGTACTGGTTTTTGAACAGATACCGCAAAATTCAAGGAATATTTTGTGGCTTGACTGTGGAGCATGTTCCGGTGACTGTTGAGTTCTGAGTTGCGTTCGTGTGACGCATGATATTGGTCCTCAAGTGATTCCGCATAGTTGTAACGCATGTTTTAATCTGGTGATGAACAAGTGATCTTCACTGAGGCCAGTAATTCTTAGGGTTGGAGTTATGTCGCAATCTTCTACAAGAATGTTGACTACTTCGAAGTCATCGATTTTTGTTAGGATTGCTTCTATTTCGGCTCTCGTCACTCTGTCCTTATATATCAACTTGGGAGCTTTTGACGGATTTTTTGATCGTTCCTAGAAGACTCATAGCCGGGGACAAGAAAAGGTGATGGTTTCCCATCGTACTCATCCCGACAATAGGGCGTTGATTAATGAGGGTCCTCTTGAAAAAGAGCACATAACATCCATGAGGAGGAAGAAGAAATAACGATCAATTTGTGAATGCGATGCGTTGTCTGACACGATTGTTGCTAACAAGAGAAGGATACTTGGTCGCAGTGGCCATTCACGATGAGATGTATGCCTTCATAGGTGGTTTCGAACGCTAATCTCAAATCTGTGTTCCAAGTCTGCTGAACAGTT